AGTCACTGCTAGGGTGTTCTGGGTCATTGCTTGTTGCTAAGGTGTTCTAAGTGGTTGCTAGGGTGCTGATAGGCAGTTCTGTGTGTTGTTTTGTTGCTAGGGTGTTGCTAAGCATGCCATTGCTTGTTGCTAAGGTGTTCAAGGTGGTTGCTAGGGTGTTGGCAGGCAGTTGTGTGTGGAGGCTTATAACTGCGGTGCCTAAAAAGTATCGAACTCGATACCCAGCCCTACTTATAACTAGTGTGTTACTATGCATGTCATTGCTTGTTGCTAAGGTGTTCTAGGTGGTTGCTAGGGTGCTGATAGGCAGTTGTGTGTGGTGGCTTATTACTAGTGTGTTGCTAAGCATGTCATTGCTTGTTGCTAAGGTATTCTAGGAGGTTGCTAAGGTGCTGATAGGCAGTTGTGTGTGGTGGCTTATTACTAGGGTGTTGCTAAATTATTCCAGGTGGTTGCAAGGGTGCTGATAGACAGTTGTGTGTGCAGGCTGATTACTAGGGTGTTAAGTATATAATTGCTTGTTGCTAAGGTGTTCTAGGTGATTGCTAGCGTGCTGATAGGCAATTGTGTGTGGAGGCTGATTACTAGGGTATTGCTAGGGTGTTCTAGGTGGTTGCTAGGGTGCGAATAGACAGTTGTGTTTGGAGGCGTATTATTAGGGTGTTGCTAAGCATGTCCTGGCTTGTTGCTAAGATGTCCTAGGGTGTTGCTAGGGTTCTGACAGGAAGTTATGTGTGGTGGTTTGTTAGTAGGGTGTTGCTAAGCAGGTAATTGTTAGGTTGTTCTAAATGGATGCTTGTTCTGGGTGGTTGATCTTGCTGTGGTTGCGCAGATACTGTATATGGACAGACAGTAGAAAATGGATAAAATCCAGATGAATTGTGTTGTGTTTAGACCGTAAGAAGAACAGACAGGAAATTTTGGCATTTATTTATTTAACAATTTCATTCCATACATGTGAATTAGGCTTAAAATCGAATTTCGAACCAAATGAATACACCAAGGAACACATTAAAAAAAGAAAATAAACCAAATGAGGCGTTTTCATTTCAGCTTGCTACAAGAAGCACAAACCCTTCGTGTTCTGAAGCCACTATCATTTCAAGAGCTAGGGAGGCCATTTTGCTTAAAAACCAGGTACTCAATCTACCAGTGCACAGTATGCTACCCACTACATCTGCTTCACTGGCACGCAGAAGAGTTTTGCAACGTGAGAGGAACATGGTGAAATTTAAGTAGCGTTTGTCTGTTTATCTTTTACATTTGAACTACAGACGTTTCTGGAACTGTGTGTATTGTGTCGTCGTCGGTGCAGCTAATTCTAGCAAGGTCATGCGAAAAACTGCGTTTCCTTCAAACTATTTGATCTTGACCTAATTGTAGCGTGTCTTTACTATGACAACTGCCCTCTTAGTGTAGCTCATTTACAAGCTAAATTAGAGTGCATCTTTTTCTGGTCTAAATTTCGCAACGGATCATTACAGCAACTGGAGAGCTTTTCTTTATTATGCGGATGTGTTTAAACAATATACAGCTTGTGTGATATGGATTGGAAACAAGCATATATACACACACTGGCATGAGCATTAAATAAACACTGATATATTAGTGTGATTATAAGGATGTTTAAAACGCAGCATGATTGAGCAAATAAGAAATAAATTGGTATGATACATGTATGTGTTAAAATAGAAAGAAAAACGCTTCATACCTGAGATGCAAAAAAATGCAGCGGATTAAAATAATGCAACCGGGTGACATAAATTAACATTTTTGATTAACAGTGTTACAGTTTCTGTTCTGGCCAGTTTGTTAAAAAGACTCTTTGCTAGAGTTTTTAATACACAAATTATTTTATTTCAGTGAATGAAATATTTTGAACTCTAAACCTTTTCAGTAAATGAAAGTTGATCAGAGTGAATGCTTTCTACTTTTTCACATTTCACTGTGATCATGAATGGTGCATTTTAGGGAGGCTTTCATTATTCTGCCAACAAAATCTGCCTGCTAATTGGTGTAGTCTATATTTTTATAGTCTGTCAGGAGGAGAAATAACCCAGGTGCATTTTATTTAAACATATGGAACCTTTTTTTTCCCCAAATCATGTCTGTATCCACAACATAGTGAAACAGCAGTTGTAGATGAATTGTCTCTTGCAGGCTCTCAAAAATGTTTCTAACTGACAAAAACCTAAGCTCTGTTCCAAAACCTAGTGAGTTGCCTACACAGGGAACATCATTGCTCTTATGGAATCTCATAAGTGACCAATTCAAATTAACACACCATAACTGATTTCAGTACAAGCTTGCTTTTAGCATGTTTTGTAAATTCCACTGCAGTCACTAGCTGAACAAAAAACATCAAACTGGAAATGCGTTGGTGCATTAAAAACGTGAATGCGAGGTGACAATATAACATGCAATTTATAAAGGCGAGTTTGAAGGAAAAGAAACAACCAGGCATTGGGTGACCAGTCATCGCTGAAACAAAACAACACAAAGTTCCCACTACAAACAAAAAGGCAATTATGGTGATAAAAGAAGCTGAATTGTTTGTTCTTAGAAACGTTGAGTATGTCCTGTAACTGGTCAAAATCTGAGCAAGTGGATATATTTTCTTGATAATAGCATGTGATTTACTGACCACAAAGGCAGCATTAGGTCAGTGTCACAATCAGACAAAGTACCAAACATTGTTAGCAGTTATTATGCCAGACAGACGGCTTTCAGCCAATCCACATAACGAGAGAGGAAGTAGAAGGAAAAGAGAAATAAATTAAAGGTAATTGTGGCTTGAGTAGCATGTGAGTGGTTATGTTTCATTTCATAAGGCTTAAATTGTTTTTTTTGTGTGCACTGATAAATGGTTTGGCCTTCAGAAGTATGTAATCTGACTGATAACACACAGCCCAGTGACTCTTGTCAAAGGATACCATATTCCTAGCCATTAATATATTCACACATATTATGGATACATGTGACGAGACAATTACATTTGAGTAACATACTTGTATATGGAAGTGATATGTGTTATTGTGGTGCATTAAACTGATCAAATGTAAAGCTTGACCATCTGTGGGTTTTATAAGCTTTGATATGTGAGAATGGAGACAGACTGCGAAAGCAAGTTTGAACACTAATCGTCATCATTTACAGGAAACGAACATCAGGTGAAGGTGATTTAAAAGTCTCCCATTCAACAAACACATAGCGTTGCTGTTTCATTAATTATTCCACTGCTGTCACAAATGCTGTCAAACTCATTGAGTGGTTTTCAATTAAGCCAAATTAAATAATTTACATTGCGAGTCGAACAAAAACATTCCTTCGAAAATGTTTTACCAAAATGGGATACTTGTACAGTATATACACACCTTGAGCTAAAGCAAAGTTTATGAAGTTGTTGAGAATCTTTTATTGACAAATAAGATGAAAAAAATGAACGATTTGTCCCCTCCAATATTTAGATCAGCTAATATACAAACTTGATGGAATTAGGGATCCCAAAGTCTAACAACAATTTTCACTAGTTACCACATTTAGCAGATATATTATACAGCCTTAGCAAGGTTGTCTATTCATCATAGAAATCAACAAAAGAACAGAAAAAAGATACCGTAATTTCAAAAACACTTCCAAACATTAACATAACCTGTGACTTCAGTGAGCGTAAAGCGTACTGATGTCCAGTTTGGGTAATGAAAGTTAGTTCTTTTTACTTCACGATTGCTGTATTAGACTGATTCATGAGTTGATGCGAGTCATTTGTGCTTATTTTTTGATTGGCCTAAACCTCACGCTGTAAAATGAGTGCTACGCGTGGGCAACGTTCTCTCAACGTTGTTATTATAATGTTTAGGTTAGCATAAAACGTTTTTGGGATCTTTAATGAACTGTATATATATCTGACCAGTGATGTGCAGGTTTAAGAGCACTGAAATAGTTGCACACTACTTTTTTTTTTTTTAAATATCACTTTCTGTGTGTTGTGAGATTTCTTGTGTTCGGCACAACGGTTGTGTAAACAGCTGAAAGGATGATATATTCGTGGATCTGTTGTTATGAAAATGCTGCGTATGGGGGTCGATCAGTGCAGGAATAGACAGACTGCTGCAGAACCAAGCAGTGAAGATGCAGCATCATACTACACAAACACACAACTGGGCTTGTTCTTTCTTTCTTTGCCTGGTTGCTAATTCACTAGCCTGCTATGGTTTATTTGGTGACCAGAGTTGGTAAACCTAACAATTTCAACTTATTTAAAAATACAAGGTGATTTTCGGTGGAACACACTGAGACCTTCTGTGAAGCTATTCATTTACGTACCAATATCTACAGTTCAAGTACAAAATACTGATTTTAGCCTTAGTGTGAGCTGTCGGTTTCACATCATGTAATGGTAATTTGGAAAATGGAGCTTCGCTACTGATAACATTATTAACACCTAAAAATCTGTAGAATAAAAAGGGAACCTCCCTCCCTCCAAGTCTGAGTATATTTTTACTACTGTACATAGTTTTTTTGGGAGAAACATCACAATTAATGGATTCAGCATAAATGACAACCAAAATCAAAGTAAAAAAAAAAAGAACAGAGCACAAAACATTTTTAAAAATCATAACGCTGAAGATAAAAAGCAAGCAACCAATCAGAGGCTTGACAAACATGAAGGCATTGACTGAAACTCAGCGGACATTTGTATATTTAGACACTGTGAGAGGATGAAGGGCGAGTCCTTACTGAAAAATGGCTGCAGATTATTTTCTTTTTTTACACATTTGGAGATTTTGACTTTTTTGTACCACTTTGGGGTGTTTTACAGCTATTTGATGATTACAAAAGGTGATATCTTCAGCAAATAAGATGCTCGTAAAAAGTGGGAGGTGAGCTGTTATCGAAAAAAGCAAAAGAAATCCAAACTGAAATGAAAACAACAAACTGAACAGCATAGAAGGGTGAGAAGAAGCTTCCGCTGCTGTCTGAAGAAGTTCCTACACGGTGCAGGGGAGGAACGAGAGGAGAGAGAAAGAGAGAGAGAGAGAGAGAAGAGCGCAGTGCCACTTGCAGTCTAAATGAAATACTCTTTCTTTTCTTCTGCGTGTGCGTGGTTGCCGTCAGCATTGATGATGGCTGTGTCTGCGTCCGGGGCGTCATCCGCTCCTTTGGCCTCGTTTGTCAAATACGTGCCTGAAAAACACACACAAGGTCTTGATTTGAAGATATTTTTAATGTCACTGCAACTTTACACTGCCTATTTATGTGGACTCTGGTAAAAAAAAAAGAAAAAAAAAAAGGAAACTAATAAAGTGCTGGAAACTTCAAAATGGCAATTCTATGTAAGAGAATTACTAAGTCCAAAAGTCTGTTGACCACTTGTGAAAATGCAAATAATTTTTATGCACTACCGGTCAAAAGTTTGCAATAATTATGATTTTTTAAATGTCTCTGAAAGAAGTATCTTATGCTCACCAAGACTGCATTTATTTGATGAAATTACAGTAAAACAGTGATATTGTGAAATATTATTGCACTTAAAAGAACTGTTTTCTATATTTTAAAATGTAATTTATTCCTGTTATGGTAAAGCTGAATTTTCAGCAGCAATTATGCTAGTCTTCAGTGTCACATGATTATTCAGAAATCATTCTAATATGCTGATATTCTAATATACCAGAGAATATAATTGTAATATTTAATACTAATAATGTAAATAAACATTTTATTTATTTTATTAAAATTTTAATAAATATCTTATTTTGTTTTCATTAAAAAATATTATATAACTTCAAAATGTCGCAGTATTTTTATTTTTTTGCACCTATTTTTCATTCATTTTACAAAACCTTTTGTCTTAAATGATTCAAAATACTGTTTATTTACAGGTTTTGAATCACAGGTGAAGCCCATTATAGATGATGATGTATTTTTGAGTATTACTGTGTCTACATTTTACAGAAATTTAAGAAAAATCTTACCTTTATGCCGTGCCAGGTAGCGTCCCAATACAATAATTAAGCACAAAGTTGCAAAGACGACAACAGCGACAATTCCACCAATCAGAGCATGGTCTGGCGGGCCTGGCAGGGCATTAGGATCTGTAAGAGAGAGAAAGAGGAGGAGGAAACATAGTTGGTAACCTTTCTCATTTCATCATACTTTTTTTTCCCCCTTCCGAAACATCAGAAGGTTGACAACAAATATTTTGGACTAAAGCTTTAGCCCTCTCCTGGTCAAGGAGTTTAAAGTCTGTCTGAACTGACAGGTCGAGCCATATGGTGGTCTGACAGGGATCTATGCATGCCTAGAATGAAAGTAAAGAGGAAGACATGGGCCACAACAAACACTGTGTCGTCAGCTGCTCGTGACTAACATACACTACATGGTCAAAAGTTGTTTGAGAAGGGTCACAAATTTCACAAATTTAATAGGAAGGTCAACTTCCTATTAAAGCCAATAGTTTTGAGATGTAATGCTCAACATGCATATACATATTGGTGAGGTATTTGGGTATCCATATACTGTACTTTTTTGACCATACAGTCAAAATGGCATTTTTTCAATGCCATAGAATAACTATTCTTTTCAATGAACAGTTTTTAAAAGAATCATTTTTCAGTGTAACAATATAAAAAACCTAAAGAAACTTTTTCCACTATTTGGAATGTAAAGGTTTGGATGTTGAAAGTGCTTCATGGAACCATAAGGGGCTTTCGCGCCGGAGGAACCTTTTCATAGTTCTTAGAACTATTGGTGGAAGAACACGCTTTTTGGCGTGTTTGTGCCGCAGGAGCTAGGAACATATTTAGTTTTAGAAACTCCATTTGGGGGAACTAAATTAGCTCCTACTTTAGAGTAGGGTCTAAAACCGTTGTATAGGAACTACCAGTGATGTAAGTGTACGCTGATTGGCCAAACGCATACGAAACACCGGTTACCCTGCATTTTTTTAAAATCATGAGTAAAAAACATTTACTCTGATAACGGCATTTACCTGTTATATGTAAAACTGCAAGTTGTCATAGGAGATTTAGTCAGATTTTCATGCTCTTTCAATCACGTAAATTGTGCATTTACATTCCATCTCCGTTATCACGAAACCTACCATGCTGGTTAGTTCTTCGAACCCAGTTCCTAGAATTATGTGGTGCGAAAGCCCCTATAGATACCAAAAACAGAATCTTTATTTTTAAGAGTTTACAGAGTAGAATAAAGCTCTTGGTTACAGAAGACAAGACCTGCTGTTCAAATTGTGGGCTACTTCATTTCATCCCCGACCAGACAATGCTCCTGAACCTCCAAGAGTATTATTAATTTATAAGATGGGTTCATCTCCTTTCTCTCTCTGAGCATTATTATGTCCCTGCTTAGTGCCATTTGGAGTGGTATATTATAATTGACAGCATGCGTTGCATCTGCCACAGCGTGTGCGTTTAATCCGGGCTGTGCTTTGTGCTGCGGGAGCTTCCTAACCACTGCCTGCAATTACTGTATCAACCACACAAAGCCGGGATAAACTCAGGGCCAGAGAGGCATTCAAACAGTCCATCAGCTCTCATTTCGGTAATGGAGAATCCCACCTCGGATCGACATCGGCTGGGCGCGCCGGCTCCATATCCCTCTGATTGACATCTCATAGACTGGCTGTTTTTTTTTGCTCTTTCTCAATAATAGCATTTCTTCTCTTTGTTGTGTTTACAGGAGGAGTATAAAAACCTACAAGCTGCATCTGACTTCCCTGTGACAATCAATCACAATAAAAAAACAAAATATGTGCAGATCTCTATCACCCTTTTAGTGGCTCGCTGAAATATGAAATGTGGAGTGGCTACTCGTATCTGACAGGCGCATGTTTCTGAATTTCCAACGGTGAAAGGCTATGGTATTAAACTCTCTCAATTTTTATGACATCAATAAATCAAACTTAAGTCCCAAAAAGTATCACCACTACAGGTGTGTGTGTGTGTGTGTGTGTGTGTGTGACTTTAGTTCAGCTATCAAAACAGCCTCACCTTTATGCCTCTTCAACCAGAGTTTTCACACTGAACTCTAGTTCTCAGTGATGTTTAACTAGGAAAAGTAACAAAACAAATTCTTGGCACTGCTATTCTAAATATCAGTACTGTGTTCAGACACTTTTGTCCCTGAACATTAGACTGTGAATCTCAAGTACATCCCTCAGTGTTGTGATAATTAGCCCTTCTCTGTCCTCGCTCTATTTTTATCAACACACAGTGGGGTTGCCGTGCTGAGTGTTGTCCTATAGGGCGACTCCATTGACACTGTGAGAGGCCTGGTAATCTCTAACTATATTAAGGATAATTTCTACAGTTAGAGAGAAGGAGTTACATAGTTCATTCCATTAGTCAAAGCAAAACAAAAGTAGCATGCAGCTCCAGATCTCACACTTTCCCAGTGTGTGAATTATACAATGACTTTCAGAGGGGGTGGGTCAACTTTTATAGGATTTTTTAATACTTTTTAAAAGTCATTTTCAACTTTTTGAAGTCTGTGGAGGTGTTATGCAACTCGTATTGTCTATATATATTCCTTCAATGAAGTGATAAACACACATTTTTTCCTGCATAATCATGCAACGTAGCTAATATATATACAGTATGTGTGTGTCTGTCTGTGTACTGGTATATATGGTTTATGAGGACACAAATGTGTATAATGACATGGGTACTACAACGTAAACATGGTTTATGAGTACACTTTCTGTGTCCCCGTAAAACAAAAGGCTTAAAAACACAAAACGGTGTTTTATGAAATTGAAAAATTGCCAGTAGTTTTCTGTAAGGGGTAGGGTTAGGTGTAGGGTTGGTGTATGGAGATAGAAAATACAGTTTGTACAGTATAAAAACCATTACGCCTGTGGAGAGTCCCCGTAAACCACAAATGCAAGTGTGTGTGTGTGTGTGTGTGTGTGTGTGATCAAAGTCTACTAGGGTCGGTTTACTTTTTTAATTTTCAGGGTGTAAACTTTTAAGGTTTGTCTTATGCAACCTGTATTGTCTTGTGGTATCCCAGTGTCATAACCACTTGTAATATTTATATAATAGTATAAAAAGGCAAGAAATTTGAATCTGACCAATTTTAACCATCTAATTTTAAGAAAATGCCACAAATCAAAAACTCTAATTTTAAGAAAACTGTACAATAATCATGCTACTTAATCATTAAAAAAATCATTTTAAAAAGCAATTTTTATGTAGGGTTCAAAATCCTCTAGTGTCGAACATCTGAGGAAACGTTCCTCATATAAATATATACAATTAAAACTATTTGGATATGTACTTTATGATCTTTCATTTTGACTTCCTCTAGGTTGAGCTCAAGCTTTAACTTCTTCCTCAAACCCCTTGCAATTTGCACCCTGCACTTGGCTTACTATTTCTCTTTCTTAGCTTCTCATTTTCTGTCCTTGTGCACCACACACAGGCTTAACTCATCAGAGTGTTTGTCCTTAGACACACAATGGGCTTAACATAGTGGGATCCACCAGCAGAGAAGTGATATGTTTCCTCTCCCCCAGCACACATTATCTTTTAATAAGGCCTGCGACAGTCCTTCCCTTATGATTTAATATTGAAGCACCGCACGCACATTCCTATTTTAATATTCAGAATTTCTTCCACTGGCCCCTGCATTGTGTGGCTCTGGCAAATGTAACAAATTAATGACAGTGAAACCGCACCGCTCTGATGGTGTGGGATATAAACTCGCCAGCGGCGCATCTGAGAAGAGGTTTTCAATCCAGCAGCGGCTAAACAACATTGAAAACAGCACTAGCACCCAGCGCACGCGAACCCTTGCGGTCACATGAATTCTTAAAGGAAACGGTTTCAGAGGAGAAACATGCAGGAAGCAGTCTTTTAACAAATCCACATGGCAGGGGTTATGAACAGGCCTCGGGGGGCAGGAGCAGCAGGGGCGGCCATGTTGCGCTCTTGTCGGGATGACATTTCAAGGTGAGCGCTACCATTAACTCCACATGCTAATTCGGGAGACTGGCACATGCTGTCTGGGAGATTATTTTTACGGTAATCTCTGCAATATTTGTATAAATGCCTTAAAGGGAGACGGTGAGCGTGGGCTGAGTGTAAAGTGAATGTAGGAAAGCAAACGTCAACGCTTCGGTGATCTTCTTTACATCGGTGAGCTATTGAAGGACACTGACAGAGAAAGTGCTGAACTGGAAAGCTTCACCTTCATGGTACAATCGAACACTGGAAATTAACATTTACAGGGCGACTGCTGATGTGCTTCCAAATTGAAAGGTGCAGAAAGACGGTTGGCCTACCGAAAGAATTGTAACATACCAAAACACCGCCCTCTATGCGGAAGGCAAATTCAATGGAAATCTCCCAATAAATCACCTAATATGAAAACCCAGCACAAGGTATTCAATGGCATTTATGATTTGATTGCTGTACACATGATTTGCTCTGACTCTTGGATTCAAATGTTCCACCACAATCAACCAGAAGCAAACCAAATTACGCATAAATTGTAAAATGCAGTGGAATGGAAAGATAGTGCTATTAACCAAATTATGAGTTTAAGTGTGAGCTCATTAGACTTGATTAGAAACTCTGCTGGATATTAAGCTGTTTACCATAAGATACATCAACATTAGTCCTCTGTGTCTGAGAACATCTGCAAACCTCCACATTTAAAAGGGTTATTTAAAAATGTATGCCTCAGAATAAGGTTTATTTTGCTCATATTTTAATATTTTAGAGATTTTTATTTGCAAATTTTAAATGTAAGTGTAAAAATACTTTTCTCCTGTTTAACGTAACATGCAGTGATGACTATAAATAAGCCATAGGTACATTGTAACCAGTGGTGTGACTTTTAGGCGGGAATATCAGACAAAGTAACTTTAACCCTTTTTCACTTCCATTTGGTGACTCCATTTGCACAGAAATTGCACACTTCACTTTCAAATACATATAAAAGTTTATATTAAAGGGATAATTCACCCAAAAACGAAAATTCTGTCATTAATTACTCACCCTCATGTCGTTCCAAACCCATAAGACTTTCGTTCATCTTAAGAACACAAAGTAAGATATTTTTGATGAAATCC